GCGGAATTTACTATATCGAGACTTTACTATATCGAGTCCTGACTGTATCTAGCTTATTTCTTAAAAACGAGATAATATGGTCATCGATTGCGCGATGTTATATGAAATATCGGTTTTCCGAGCACAAGTTTATTATACGTGTTTTGGGAATTAGAAAATTGTCAGGTTTTGGCATTGCTTTGAAAAGTTGTCTAAAATCGGTTTTCTCCTCAACTTTTGAAGATAGCATGTATTGTCCAAGATCATTAACTTTTGACAAATATTTCCAGCATTGCTACGGGTCAAACTCTTCAATCAACCTTTTATCATGTTTGTATGAATTTTTTTCCCGTCTCTAAAGAAATCGCCTTTCGCTTACGTATCTGTTTTTGGCATTTGGTAGTAATGTTACATCTTTGAAAAAAAAACTAGTGTTAGAAGCTTTGGGACTTGTTAGTACAGGTGACTTTTAGAAATAGTCAGATAGGGATATAACGAGGGTCGATTGTATTATGAGGGCAAGAGCCTCCGGTCGTGGCCAGAATCCAGAATAAAAATAATAATTCAACGTATAGACCAATCGATCACGTGAAAGTTAAATTCGAGTAGCATATTTTAATTTGTCCCCCCTCCCCGCCCAGCACTTTTTCCACGACGATGGCTACTGCTTCTACTTCTACTCCAACTGCAACAGGGACAACTTCCATACCAAATTCATGGGAGGAAACTTTCCCAACCGGTAGTGCCTCTCCAGCACGAAGAGAAGAGGAAACAAACGGAACTGGTCCTGGATTAGGAGGGACAGCAGATCGGAGTGGAGGTTACAACAGGAGGTACGGAGGACGTAACGGGTTCGGATACAACAGTGCTCAAAGAATGGTGTTTGACGGAAAGCGTATGAGAAAAGCAATACAACGACGTACTGTGGATTTTAATTGCTCGATCGGAAAATACATACAGGTAGAAAACGAGGAGGGGTTTTTTAGATCGCTAATGCTGGAATTTAAATTCGCGTGGCTTTTTTTATTTAATCTCTCGCTTCGTTTGTAATGAGGGACACTGTAATAACTCAATTTCATTTATCTATTATTCTCTGATTACTCTTTATATTAGGAAAGGGTATGGAATCGCGGTTCTAACAACATGAAGTTTCTTCGGCCGAATCCTAATTTTGTAATTGATGTAAGTCTATTCATACAGATTTTCCCCGCGTTTAAACATCGACGGCCTACCATAAATAACGTACTTACGAAAAATTTTTATCTTTCATCAGCTTCTTCCGCCATCTGCTTACCTCCACAATCCTGTGAACGCAGTTGCAACTAAATTCGTACATACCTCTACCAATAAAAATCGATATCCCGTCAATGTTGTTCGAGTACGTTCTTTCCGGCCACAGTTATATGAATTGCTTATTTTCTCTTTTTTTTTCCCGTCTGGTTACTGATTCTAATATCCTTCTGGTGCTTTAGTGGACCCCAGAAGGACGGCGTCTGATCACTGGTTTGTCTAGCGGTGAATTCACGTTATGGAATGGACTAACATTTAATTTCGAGACAATATTACAGGTATTCGATTTAATGCCTTTATTAACATCGGTGTGGTATATAGAATGGCTTTTGTCCGTTTCCCCGTTTTCTTTGCTATATCCAGATCAGCAGAATTTGAAAATAGAGGCTATATTAGTGCAGATTCGGTATTTTAATTTCGTATGTAAGGGATTCTTCGGAGCAAAATTAATAAAAAGGTCACATCAAAACGACTGCTGGATTTCGATTTCCTAGTGTTTCTGTGCATAATTTGCGTTATACATTCGGTCCACGTCTCTATGGCCATTGCCTTTACGACAAAATCCATTGTGTGCTCTGTAATCCGTTATATAAGGAACCCGGATGACAGATGCACAAATATATTCTTCCAGATGACACAAGTTCTATATACACCACTAAGCACAAGCTCATCAAAGGAACATCAAAAACCGTTCATTCACGTTTTTTCTATTTACTCTTTTCTTTTGTTTTCGCATGGCAACAACCAATTATGAAAACAATAAAAATAATCCACTCAACTTCAAAGGCCCACGAATCAGCAGTGCGAGCTATGAAATGGTCCCACGACGACAACTGGATGGTCACCGCCGACCACAAAGGCATCATCAAATACTGGCAATCCAACATGAACAACCTCAAGATGATTGAAGGGCATAAAGAGGCGATACGAGATTTATCGTGCGTAACCAAGTACCAACATGCGTGATGCATTGCTTATCAATTGAGCGGATCTGAGATACCTAAAGGAACGTCTTCCTATCTATGCAGGTTCTCCCCAACCGATACTAAATTTGCAACTTGCTCTGACGACGGAATGATCAAAATCTGGGATTTCACAGAAGGCGTTGAGGAAGGAGCTCTTTCAGGTACTGAATTTGAAAAAAAACGCGTTTTATATGACACGGTTGCGTTTCAATAATCGTTACTCCCACGATAATTTTAGGACATGGCTGGGATGTAAAAGCTGTAGATTGGCATCCGTACAAGTCTTTACTAGCCTCAGGATCAAAAGACAATCTAATAAAATTCTGGGATCCGAAATCTGGAAAGAATGTGGATACGCTGTAAGTAGTAGGAGATTTATTCGATTTGCTACAAAAAGTGACAGCTATCAACTATCAGGACTCAATCCACACTTTTTTTGTTTTGACATCAAAATAATTAGGCATGGCCACAAGAATCCTATTCTTGGGCTTCAATGGAACAAGAATGGGAATTGGCTGGGAACCGCGGCGAGGGATCAACTAGTGAAAGTGTACGATATCCGCATGATGAAAGATTTGCAGACGTTTAGAGGGCACAAGAAGGAAGTGTGTTGTAAGTACTTCTTTTGCTGGCATTGTCTGTTTTCTCTTCCAGACACAATAATTCTAACGTTCAAAGAACAACCGTAGCCATCGCATGGCATCCGTTTCATGAGCGGTTATTGGTCACGGGTGGCTCAGAAGGCTCGCTTATGTTCTGGATTGTAGGGTATGTGGTTCGATATATATATATGTACATATATATATGCTCCTTATGCAGCCATGATATCGTGACTGAACGACTCACTTTCATCATTTACGATCAGACAAAACACAGTTGTAGACTCTGTAGAATTTGCGCACGAATCCAACGTATGGTCACTCGATTGGCATCCGATAGGTCATGTTCTTGTATCTGGTTCTAATGACCATACAACGCGATTCTGGACAAGACCTCGTCCCGGTGACATGGTTCAAGACAAATTCCACGTGGGTAAACAGAAAGCGGAAGAAATGGGATTAAAGGACGTGGACGTTGAAGAAGGTTTGTACCCTCTTTTTTTTTCGGGGCTTTTGTCTTGTAGCTTTAGATGCATCAATAATTGATTCAAATTTTTCTGGTTCTCGCAGACGATTTTGTGCCCGGACTGAACATGTTCAATGCTAATAATAATACATTGAGCAATGTAGATGACTTTGTGCCTGGACTGAGCATGTACAATCCAAATAATTTAATGAATGGATAACGCGAAAGAGTTCGTTCAAAATTTGTCGGCTTGCTATTAGAAGTAATGAATATACTTTATATGTATTTGTTTATTGTTAAGTCTTTTTATTCTGGACCACTGAAATAAATCTCAGTTTACAAAGACGTATTATATGTACTGGATAGACGTTTCATAAGGTTTTACAAGAGAATTTTGTATTAAGAATAATACACGTTTGTTAAAGATGAATAAATAGCATTGCTGAAACTCTTGGCTTACTTTAGTCCCGGGCCGACTTTTATTATTACAAGAATTAGTTGTATAATTTTTTATTAAAAAAACTCCCCAAACTATCTATGTAACTCGAATAATGGTGTTAACCAAAATTGAGCAATGTCTGTATCTTAAAGATGGATATGCTCCAAGTATAATAATGTCATGATTTATATAATATTAAGATCCTCTCTCGCATATTACGTTCGTACAGTATTTGACACATTAAAAGCGTTTCGCATTTTTGATCTATAAATGAGATGACGTTTTGAAAAGTAATAATGGTACTCATAACTTATGGACTTGCTAATTTTTAATGCTCACTTTATCATACCAGAATGTGATGAATATAAACCATAACATGATTAATATTAATATAGGATTATCTCTATATTAATATATAAAAATATTAATTTACATTAAATCCACTATGGAACCAAAGAATTACAGCACTATTAGAAGCATTTTAAAAAGGAACAAGGAGAAAAGTTGCTCCGTATATTTTTAAAATGAATGACACCAAAATTCTTGAGAAATATCTAAGACTGCTCGAGCGCATTCGTTGAGCGTTGATAATATTTCGCTACTTGACACAATTGCAATCAAAAAGTCAAACATGTAAAAATAATTCGATTTTTTGCAAGTATAAATTTTATTATTTCGATTATTGAATGCGCGCGCTCTTAAAATATAAATAATACTAAATAGTGATTGTATGGGAGGAAAATACTCGGACCCAAAGCCATTGATGGGTATAACCTATTACTATTCTTTGGGCAAATTAATTTAATTCTTCTTTACTACGTGTATTACTATTATTATTATCTATTTCTTCGTTTTCGTTTTCCCCATCTGAGTGATTTACATCTTTCTTCTTCTCCTCGTCGATCCAACGTTGGATTACCTCACTGGTCTTTTTCCGTGGGATTGTTCTTCGAAAATAAAAATTTCGTATGGTGGAAGCTGCAACAGCTTTTTCTTCAGTAATTTATAAATTCCGAATGTCATTTTGTTAAATGAAAATTGGGAATAAATTTTGTTCGCCGATGACTTTGTTTTTTGGACTTCATAGTCTTGGTCAGTAGTGGAGTTGACTGTTACAAATTATGCCATTTATCAACGGGCCGAGAACAATAAGTACTCCGAAAAAGAATTCGCTTGTGAATGTAAGCATGTTTTGTAGTGTTGTTAACAGATTTGTTTAAGATGAATTCCTGCGACAAGCGATACTTGTCTTAGCAACAAACATGACCTGGGAGCAAGCCAAAGCTAAACTATGCACTCTTTTCCCGGACGAAGAGGAACGCGGCAGAATAAGGGGTATTCTTTTGGGCAATTCGGTGAATGAACGTTTGGAGTATTTCGAAGGAGGAGATACGGAGATTGCTGCTGCACTCCGAACCCTTTTGCCAATCCAAGGTAACGACTTTGTGACTCGGGCGTTGGATAGTGTAGGGTAGACATGTTAATCATAGTAACTATGAAGAATGTAACTATTATTATATAATATAGTGGGTTTGCACTGATTTCTGCATTATTTTCTACCTCACCTCAACAGGAAAAGATCTAAATCCCCAAGTCCTAAAAGAAATCCAGCGTAAAGTCGACCGCCTGGATGAAATGATGATGAAACGAGCAAGAATCTCGTCAGAGGCTGTTATTCCATCATTATCATATAGTAATGGTAGTAGTGTCTTCACCTTTTGTTGGACTTAATGTCATTGTATTATCTATATTCTCGCACTTATGTTCAATTTTCCATCTTTCTTTTCTTTCTTTTTTTTAGCCCCACAAACACATACTGATCTCGGAAAACAGGTGGACGTCAAATCGAATTCAACTTCGAGCCGTTGAAAGTTACACTCCCAAAAGCAGTTCAAATCGGAAAAATTTTTTGAATCCTCCGTCTGATGAGGATTATGAAGCAATACATTAATATCAGGAACACTTATGAACGAATGTTCTGCACTTGTTGGTTCCCAGATAATTATGCATGACACTTCCCAATTCCCATTTTTTCCACACACAAAAGCCTGTTTGTGTTGGAATTGCTTAAGATCATTGTATTGATCCTCTCAATGTTCTTTTTGTTGTTGAAATTGTGAGGCATGAACAGAGTGTTGGCTTCAGTAAAGCAAAAATTGGTCAGGTTGTAGCACTTGCAAACAAAGTCTTGGCAATACAACGTCGTCATCCATTTGTTTATGGCTTGTTGGCTGACTACCAAATACAATTCTTCAGATAGATCACCAAGGTGGTAATTTGGGAGTTGACCACCTGTGAGCATCTCACCTATAAATAAGTTGGTTGGGAGCAACTGGTACTAGCAATTTTTGTTTCTCAAAGACCTTCTAAACTGGGTTGCATTGAACCAGAGTTGACTATCAGTGTATTCAAATTCATTTGGAAAGGTATCTTGGAACATTTCCATGCTTGATTTGAATGGTACTCATAAATGGTGTATTAGTATTAGTATGTACTGTATATGGATAGCAACAAGGCTTTTGATGCTTATTGGATGGAACTCATGGGAAAGACATGGACTGAGCTTATGAACCACCAGACTCAGGTAAAGCAGCAATTACAGGAAAATATTAATATATGCAACATCAACCTACATAGTAATAGTAATAGTAATAGGCTCCTTTTTATTTTGAGCATGCACAATGATCATCTTGGTTTGAGCTCTTCTACACCTGTAAGCCTTAATTATAATGAAGCATTCAGATTGAATAACTTACATTTGCTACAACCAGAGTTTGATCAGTTAGTAAATAAGTTTCTTGACAGTATTTTAATTTGCCAGGTGACTATAATTATTCCAGATATGGCACATGATGTTATCTTCAATATGACTTGCAGTCTTGTTAGACATACATTTAAACTACCAGAAGGACATTATAATTACTGATGCTTCAGGAATATTAAATTACCTGTTCTCTACTGGATCTTTTAAGTATGTGGATGACACATTTCCATGTGTTTACATGGCTGAATGAAGTAAAAGAACAGATGACAACAAATGATGTCAATTTTTTATGAACAGCATTTAACACTATAGACTCTGCTCCAGTCTTCACTGTGGATACAGATGATATGATAGTCAGAAAATATCAGTGTTCTGGCTTAGTATTAGTCACACAGGCAAGAAACATGAATGATGACTATCACTTACTATTTACTATTACAATTTGTGGCCCCATTACATATTATAATTAGTCCAAATGATCACCAGATGACTTCAACATGTTTAACATATGAGACCATCTGTCCACTCAACCTCATTGAGTCATGATGTAAATAGGAATGCATCATTAATGGCAGTATGAATGGTATAAAGCTGCAATGACAGCTGTTCCAATGGGAACTTCAATTAACCCTGATTATAATGTTCAGCTCATCTGGATTTGTTGATTATTATGTCAACAATAAACATCATTATACACTCACTACCAAAAAGTATTGGCCGAGATTTGCTGATCAATAGTAAAACATATGAAAACCCTTTTTTTTCCGAA